CCGGCATACAAGCTGGTATGCCCCCCACACACGCACACCGCAATCTCCGCTCAGCACACCGCCGTCGCCAAAGAGAGTAAGGCTGTGGTTAGTATCTTTGCCTTTTGTTTAAATTTCGGCGCAAAACGCATCGAGTTGCTGCAGCAGAATGAATCGTGTCGTACGCTTTTTAGTCCTATATCTCCGGATGCGGGTGTATACGAGGAAAGCGATTTTCGCATCGATGCTAGGCCGAATGTACTGTGTACGATTTGAGCTCAATGGTGAGTTACCCGTAGGTAAATTCGTAGGTATTATAAGGCTAGTAAATGACGAATTTCCCTTGTTTAATTGATAGTCACACTCCTTCCCTATTATCTACTCCTGATCATAGTATTAGTCTAACCGGTTCAAGGATAAATATAATATTAATATTATTATATCAATATAATAGGTTAGGGTTAGGGTTAACCCGACCAGGCTGTGTGACTAACGTCAATACACCGTATTCTACGTATTCTAACCCTAGCAATACCGTTTCTTGGAGCTAGGTTAGGGTTAGGCACATTGGTTTTATTGGGACCCATGTTCTCTATCCTTTGGGCCCGTGTAACCTAGTAGAGGTTTACAACTACGGAAAATATGTGACGGTTGGTTTGGGGGGTTTTTTTTTTTTACGTTGGGGGCAGTAAACTACTTCCACTTTTACGGTTAGCTGCTATAACAGACTCTAATGTCAATACCCCAATAGTATTACCTGGAAAATTGTGTTCCATAACCTTTTCTTGTCAAAATCAACTAGTTCCTGCTCAAGTCTACAACAAATACTCCTCGTCAGATTCATGACTTTGCGTTGCTTGACTAGAACAATCGCAGGTGCAGGGCTGAGCCGCCAAAATTACTGGGAACACGGTTCCCGATTTTCATGAGATCATTGTGACAAAATATAAACACGATAGAAGGTGATAGATTAGAGGTTGACAGGTTACAGAAACAGAACGTACACTGCATGAGCTGCAATAAAATGTTTGTCGCGGACGATCGGAGCGCCAGTGAGTGCTGCCATCTACAGGAGACTAATGAAATCACGGATATAGCGTCATAAATATACGCCATAAATTTATATGGACGTTCGTTCATGCAATCACCAACGCTTTCTTATCAATGGCCTCGTACAATAAATTATAGTCGTTTTTATGCAGATATAAAGACAGTACGTCGCATTAAAATCGTAATATATCCTGTGACATCAGACGAGGGTAGTTCGCTGTCTTCTTTAAACCAAACATTGTACACGGCTAGCTAAGGGGGGCACAAGGGGGCCATTGGCCGCCCCTGTTATTGGCAAACAAAAAACAAACAAAACAAAAGTTTCCTTGCCCTCTCACGCGTCCTTCACAGGACTGGCGCAGCAAATTCCTGTTACTTCTGGCATTCTGCTGAACGAACATTCGTCTAAAAAGTGAGCATTAATTGTCAGTCTAAACTTCGTTCTACAATGACCCACCTACGGATCTTGCTCTCAATTCCCTTTCGTTTGAACAGGAGTTAGTGAACTGACATTAATGCAACGAAAAATCCTCAAAATCAGGACGAGAAAAGACTTGACTTTGGATTTTGACGATTTCGCAGGAGACAAACATGACTAAAAGAAAGGAATAATTTCTTCATTTCTTCAGATTTGTGTGTTGCATAAGTTGGCTTATGATTGAATTTTATGGTTCGAAACTCCTTATTTGACAGAGAAGAAAGAAATGGAAATGCTTTGTGAATAACTTTGATAAATTCGAACTTATAGTACGCCATTTTTTGGCAGAAAACCTTCGGTTTTTATTTCAAGATCCGATTCAACACTATTAAAGTAACTGTTTCCGTATACAGGGAGGCAAAAACAATTCTTTTCAAATGGTAAATTTCCTTTTATTTAATAGAGCGCTATTTTGGCAGCTACTTTGTTTTTATTTGAATCAAAAATTTCAATATGGTTTTTAGTTCTTTCTTATCAAGAGAAAGCAAAACATTTTTTATAACGAACAACAATGTTAAATGTGATCTTAACGCTATTGTATTCTAAACGATGTAAATCTTTTATTTAATGAAATTGCATGTTTAATTTCAGTGCAAGTTACCAACACAAATCTATCATGTTTTTCCCCGTAATCTTTATTTCGATTTCATTCAAACAAATGCTCTACTTTTTCAAATTCCAATCTTTTTAACTTTTATAGAGGCAACTTGAACAGTTTATGACGGATAAATGCAACATTGCATGGTACTGCTAACAAACACAAATCAACTAATTCCATGATATTCCGTCAGTGCTTGAATGAGACATAGCGTAGCTTAAGGGGGGGGGGCATCAAGGATGCATGACCCCCTCTGATCGGAGAGTAACAAAAATTAAGAGAGAAGGGCCCTTTAATGGGATTGGTCCTACTACCACTATTGACCTATACCTAATAATGAAAATGAAAAATGCCAGAATGCCATTTTGATGCACATAATTTTCAAAAATTATAATTACCCTACATGTGGGAGGGAAACCACCCTCCCGTGAGAAATTGCTTCAATTCATCGCTGTCATTTTGGTCGCTTTAAACTCTTCTTCCGTCCATGAAAGAAACACTGGCATTCGTACAACCATTTTCACAGCGGGGGGGTGGTCTACGCTAAGGGTCCACCAACTGGTCTGTGTAAACCTCAGAGCCTTCCGGCGCCACAGCCATGGGGCCATCGTCCACGTTGATGCGATGCGGAGTGGAAAAAATGAAAAAGCCGAGGAGGGGGTTATAGAGGGATTAGCAATATGCCACTTCCATAATAAGGTTAACCCCTAATAACTGAATTTAGTGTGCAGAAAATGCCATTTTCAAATGCACGAATTTACAAAAATCTTCCTACGTGGGAGGGGGATACCCTCCCACACCTACCCCCTCGGTCGCTTCGCTCCCCTCGCCTTGGGCCCCGGCCCTGTTTCCTAATTGCTGGCTACGCCACTCAGACATGAATGTTTGCAATGAATCTTGCGTGATGTAACTCCCGTTGATCTTGCAGTCCTTTGTAAGTAATTACGCCTAACGGTTAGGTGAGAGGGAGAGAGATAAGAGAGGGAGGCAAGAGAGGAGGAGAGAGAGAGAGAGAGAGGAGAGAGAGAGAGAGAGAGAGAGAGAGAGAGCGAGAGAGAGAGGTGGGAAGGGAGAGAGAGAGAGAGCGAAGAGAGAGAGAATAGAGATACGAAAGAGGAGAGAGAGAGAGAGAGAGAGAGAGAGAGAGAGAGAGAGAGAGAGAGAGAGAGAGAGAGGAGAGAGAAGGAAGCGAGAGAGAGAGGGTGGGGAGGGAGAAAGGGGAAGGGAGGAGAGGATAGAGGAGATGAGAGGAGGAAAAAAGAAAAAGGAGAAAAGAGAGAGAAGAGAGAAGAGAGAAGAGAGCAGAACAGGCGATGAAGGCGGAGAAGAGAGAGAGGGCTTGTGGGAGAGGCGCCGAGAGAGAGAGAGAGAGGAGCCAGAGAGAGTAGAATCCCGCTATGAGAGAGAGAGAGAGAGAGAGAGAGAGATGCGCAGAGAGAGAGAGATAGGCACGAGAGAGAGAGAGAGAGAGAGAGAGAGAGAGAGAAGGGAGTGCGAGAGCGAGAGAGAGAGAGAGAGGTGGGAGGGAGAGAGAGAGAGAGACGAGAGAGAGAGCAACCGAGAGAGAGAGAGCAGATAGAGAGAGAGAGAGAGAGGAGAAGCAAGACGAGAGAGAGAGATAAAGAGAGAGAGAAGGAGAGAGAGAGCAGAGAGAGAGAGAGAGATAGAGAGAAGAGAGAAAGAGAAGATAGATAGAGCAAATGAAAGAGAAGATAGATAGAGAGAAGAGAGAGATTGAGAGATGAGAGAGAGAGAGAGAGAGATGACGAGAGAGCGAGAGAGAGAAGAGCGACGAGAATCCCAGAAGAGAGAGAGGAGAGAGAGCGAGAGAGGAGAGAGAGCGCAGAGAGATGAAGAGAAGAGAGAGCGACACAGAGAGAGAGAGAGAGAGCAGATTGACATGACATCCCAATTTTCGTTTTGGATTTCACTCTAGACTGAGGATTGGTCATGATTCCATCATCACACCCCAAGAGGCATGATGGAGAGCCCTCAAGGAGCTTTCCATCATCCCTTTTAAAGGTGTGATTTTTAGTGGAGCTCTCCATCATGGTTCTTAAGGGTGTGATTTTTTAGTGGAGCTCTCCATCATGCCTCTTAAGGGTGTGATTTTTTAGTGGAGCTCTCCATCATGCCTCTTAAGGGTGTGATTATGGAGCGTGAAAAGACCCCCTATGGTGTCCTAGGGGAGTCATTAGTAGTCCTCCTGTACTTTTCAAATCTGAAAGCCTGGGGGTAGAAATTAACTTTTGAACACGGGAGTCCAACGGACTCCCTACCCTCAAAAAGAGGGAGTCCGCAATCTGAGGTTCAAAATTAAAGATAACGCATGTGCTTATTTGTAAGATTTATGCGGTTGCACGTCTGCCAAATTTTCTTTGGACATTAGCTGAAAAAGTATGGTAATTCCACAAGGCTAGTTAGTATGGCAGAATTTTCAGGGAGTCACACGGACTCCTGCATATGTCAAATCTGGGAGTCCAACAGTATATCAGGGAGTATTTGACTCCGGACTCTCGTTCATTTCGCACCCTGACTACATGAAGAAGTTGGTCTGCCTCTTACTGTATAGTGTAAGTCCTAGTCCTAGACTAGATCAAAATATGCACACATACTACTATAACTTTGAAATTTATTAGGTTTTTATCTGCTGCTGTTGCTAGGAGGCAGCGATGAGAAGTACCAAGGTTATGATGTATTGTGATCCTCTGTGGAGTTCACCGCTTGAACGCCGTGCTGTGCACAAACAACAAAAATATAGATACTCTATATTTTTGTGTAATTCTGGCAAAGAATACTAGGAAGATGGTGTGGATGAGCTGAATACATTTTAGGTTGTGAATTTATATGAGACTGCTATATTTGATCAGTATAGCATGCTATTTTGTTTTACAGAAAATCCAAAATCCTGTCAATGTTGGTTCAACCAATGCTGCAAGAAAGTCTGTAAATAGGGACAAGAATAGATACTGTAACATAAGCCCATGTAAGTAGGATAATGTGTATTGGGAAATCCTGATGTACTAAATCACGTTCATCCGAAGAATAAAATATGCAGTGTAAACAGTTGCATCACCTTCGATTGAACAGAAATGGATTTCATTTCCAGCAGTATGTAGCTTCTGTTAGTAACATCTTCTCATGTACCCAATGTAACTATCTTATAATAAACCACATTAAAATCATTTACATCATGTTGTAATCTTGAAAAAAAAACCATAAAGTTAGTAACATGGCCATGACTACTCCTACTACCATGATAAATTGTGTTTCACAGGATTTTCGTTTATTGTGGAGTGGATAATATATAATATTATAAGTTTTAAATTGACTAAGTCACGAATTTGTTGCAATTTTTTTACATTAAAAGTAAGTACTAATGGGACAAACTTATTGTCAAATTGTTACTCGATAAGATTGTTTTTCAACTAGTTAAAATCCAAACCTGGCCGATTTGATAAATATGATCCCGACATTATTTTCTTGCTATGGGCTATGTATGAGTCACGAGCGTATGTTTACATTGAACAATATAGTAAAATAGGAAGTATAGTGCAGCAATTTAACCATAAAAGGTAAACAGAATTACTTACATTTTGTGAAAAAGTGGAAATATTTTCTTTACTTTTACTATTTACGGTGACGTAATCACTTTAAGGAGTTGAACTTTTTTGGTTTCTTTTAATTTCCTGTATATGTGTTGCTACATTACATATTCACGGCATGTATTTATGTTTGATATTGTAGATGATCACAGTCGCATACGATTAAAAGCAGGGGATAATGATTATATCAATGCAAGCTTGGTAGAAGTGCCAATAATTGGCAGGAAATACATTCTCTCCCAGGTAAGTGATAGTAATCAGATAAAGTGATCAGGTGGATACACATGTTACGATATAACCGCATGGCACAATTTATGAGTTGTTCGAAATGTTGCTTTATTGCTACAAGGGCCCAATGACCGTCTTCAATATTGTGTCAAGCATACAGACCATACAATTAATCATGATATATTCTCCCCAAAGTGAAATAAAGTGGTTATCATTTATATTTGGCTTGAAACTGTGAATCGATTTATATTGTTAAAAACACAGTGCAACTGTTGACTCCTAGATGTGGTTGATATACTTGTGGTAATTGTGAACGACTACCTATAGTAAACTGTTAGACGATATTGATTCATACTCTTGATACATGTTATTGTAAATCATATAATTGGATTGAACAAATGACAAAAAATTTAAAGGCTATCTTTATTATTCCAGGGTCCACTAAGTAACACAGCTGGAGATTTTTGGCAAATGGTTTGGGAACAAGACTGCAAAGCTATCGTTATGCTTAACAGTGTCATTGAGAAGGGCATGGTAGGTGAGACGCTTCAAAGCTATATATACGTTTCAATACACCAGTCAAGTAGACCAACTAAATTTAGTTCAGATGAGATCTATACGTCACATATAGGTAGCAGCAGGACATCCTTCATAGGAGTGTGTCACTAGGTCACAGTACCTAACCACAGTCAACAATAAAGTGAACATCCACTTTCAGTTGCCGTATTTATTGCTGCAATCATCTATGCATGAGTTGTTACATTTTCAGCCCAAGTGTCACCAGTACTGGCCAGTTGGCACAGCGAATGGTGGCGAGGACACCGTGACCTTCGAAAAGAATGGCTTTGCTGTCGAGTTCTTGCAGGCTGCTGGGCAGGACACTTTCATAAGCAGAATGCTGCAGCTAACCAATCTCAATGTGAGACACGAATGCTTTCACTAGGTGTGGGGGGGGGGGTTTAATAAATGCGTGGGACTAATATATAAATAAAAATTCACAGTGTAACTGTTCACCTCTATATAATTGGGCATTCTCTAGGCTACAAAGAATCATTGAAATTAGTGGCATTCAAAGTAAAACGCTAACAAGTTGAGATGAAAACTTATTAAGTGGTTTATGCTATAAGGAGGATCTTGTTATTCTTTCTTTGTGCAGACTAATGAATCACGTGAGGTCAGACATTTCCAATACACTGTATGGCCAGATTTTGGAGTACCTAAATGTCCCACGACCTTCTTGGAATTTCTGGACGCAGTAAAGAAGTCTGGGGCATTGGCTCCGCATGCCGCACCACCTGTGATTCACTGCAGTGCCGGCATTGGAAGATCAGGAACTTTCTGTCTAGTCCACACCTGCATTACGATGGTAAGGTCGAAGGTACTTGATGCAAGACAAAACATAACTGAAACTACTCTAACGATGAGATAAAGTAAACTAAAAACTTCAGAATTCAACCTTTAAAAGCTGTTGATCGTTCATACAAAATAAGGAGAGGAGGTATAAACTTGATACAAGACAGTTCCACACAACGTTTTATAGCCGTCTGTGCTATTTTCTTGACATATATTGAAAGAAGTGCTATTAGTTGTTAACTAGAATTTATGCTTCTGAAATAATTTGAACCGTTTTACATGCTAGCCGTGTATATAATTTTGAGTTTACAATGAGTACTCAAGAATCCATTCATGGCAGTGTAGGATGAAAAAGTAAAATTGTGTTCTGGTTTGAGGCAAAATACGTTTTTCTGTCAATGTAGTTTCAGTAATCAAATTCGGTGGTAGTAATCTATAATGGTTATTTAACATGGTGTTTTTAATTGGACCAGTTTATGTGGTTTTTAATTTCTACATTTCTATATTAATGCCTTGTGTCTTATGCCATTGTAGTGCCACCCTACGTAAGCATTTGTAGTAGTTAGACGTGTTTGATAACTGCACCAGGAACAAATTCTAGTTGCATTGAAAAAATGTCCTTTTCCTCAGCTTAGGAATAAGATGGACAATAAGACAAGCAGTTGGTCTTATTGTTTCAAGTGAGAATTGTAGATTATTAGTACAGTAGTATATCATTGAAACTACATGAATAGGAAAATAAATATGCTAATACTAGAACATTGTTTTTAGCTCGCCTTGACATCGTCAAGATGAGCTATTGCCATGGGGTGTCGTCCGTCCGTCCGTCCGTCCGTAAACATTTGGCTATGGTCAATGATAACTCAAGAACAGTTTGACCCACATGTTTCAAATTGGCATATATTGTTACTCCTATGGGAGAGTTTGAACGTCCTTATTTTGCGAGAACGCCAGTCGACCTACTTTCGAGCCACGCCCACTTTTTTGGCAAAATGAAAATGGCATCTAAATTCATTCGATTTTTGTTAAATTATTGGTATGTGAATGTGTAAGGCTAGCCCCAAAACAGTTGTTACTCCTATGGGAGAGATGACACGTCCTATTACGTTTATTTCGTCTAACTGGTTAACAACTCTACAATCATACCTATATACGTGTAATATTGTGTTTTAGATTCTTCGTTACAGTAATTTGACTGGAATATTTTATTGTTTTTATTTGCGCGATATTTAAAAACCAAAATGGCGATCATTTAGGCGTAGCGCCATTTCCCGTCAAGATTTCAGACTTTCAGATCGGAAACATTTATTTTCGCATCGAAACTTATGCATATATATCATTATCAAGAGTATATAATGGGAGTTCTCCCATATATACTCTTTTTTGCTTTATATATCCCCCGCCCTCTTCTATCACACCCAAGGTGAGCTACAGTGTCATTGACACTTTCATTTCATTGTGCGATGTGATATTAACTGGAGTGTCATAATATAGACTATATTATGACACTCTTGATATTAGTTGGCTCTTGGTGTAATGCATGTGGATTAGTACTATATGCTATGGTTTCAATGTGCTGCTATGGTCCTATGTGGGCAGCTGGACAGAACGGGAAATATAAGAGCGACAGACGTGGAGAAACAGCTGTTAGCACTGCGACGTCAAAGGATGCGACTAATCGAAAAAGTTGGGCAGCTGCGGTTTTGTTGCCTGGTGATAGTGCTGTGGGCCAAGGGAAGCGATGCCGTATCCACCCTGCAAGACATTTCTTTAGGCTGGGGCGATGAGGTTAGAACACAGCCAGGAGCATGGTGGATACAGCATTTCCTGTGTGAATGTAGTGGTGGCGGGCCATATTCTGAAAGGAGTTACAAATGTATTCCTCCTACTCACTTTTTCCAAACTGGTATTTATTGTTTCTGGGATCCTTCTGAAACATCTATTGCACTAGAGATTTTCTGTTTATTTATTTTTCATTATATTTGTTTCTGACGCTGCGTTTCTATTTATCACTCACATGCAGATTTGGGTTGCACTCCTCTCAGAAATGTGGTGCTTTTATCTCACTTTAGTTGGATAATGTTCAATAGTCTTCACAGTGTTTGCTCACTTTCACAGACCGAGAACGCCGTTACGGCAGATGTTCTGCGGGTGCAGAAGGTGCTGCTGTCTCTCAGAAAGTACAGAATGGGACTGATTCAGACCCCTGACCAGCTGAGGTTTTCATATGTTGCGATTTTAGAGGGCTTGAAGGCACTCGTGGGAAAAGATGGCCAACGGGACCTCCAGGTGCGGAGAGGGTAGCAAGGGCAAGCATTGAGAATGTGTGCATGTATAAGTGTCCCTACTATTATCTGATATCACCTCAATGCCACTTGAAGTACAGGCTGCTAAATCCTTTATTATACCGTTAGAGCATAATTGGTCATTTTCAAGATTGTGCTTTACTTAAGAGTGCCTTGTTTATATGAGGTGGATCCAATATAGTTTGTTATAATTTTAAACTAGTAGACCTTTCCATTCTGTGTTATCATGGGTAGCATGGGGTTTAAGACATGGTTTCATGCCAGTTACTTGCATGCTCTGGTTGTATGAGATATAATTACTTGCACTGCTTGTTCACCTTACTCTAACATTTCTGTTTGCTACTATTAAACACGTTCAATTTTGAAAATTATTTGCGGTAAAAGAGGGAATGCATGCTCTTATTACTACCTTCTTATTTTAACTTAATATAGTTCAGTTAAATTTATATATCCACTGTGTACAATTACTTTACAAATAGAGAACATTTTATTGTGATGAAATGTGTTTATATATATATATATGCCAGGGTGTTAGTGTGCTGCTATAGACCTATGTGGGCAGCTGGCCACGCACACGTACATAATTGTATACAAATTTTAAACTGAAAAAGAAGAAACTATATGTCGAATAATGATAAAATAATTGCACTTTTTAGTTTGGTAAGTTTCTACACGTGATTTTGCTTTATTCTAACAAATTAATACAACTGTTGAAGGAGGAGGATGGTGATAGTGGAGTGAGCAGCATGCATACTGAGGAAGAAGTAGAGGAAATACCACAGGACTTGCACATAGGTAACATGATAAATGGTAGTCAGTCAAATGTAGATGAAGTTTCAAATTCTGAGTAAACATAGAGTGAACCATATTGCATTGTTAAAATATGATACATATCACAAACTTAAATACTGAAAGATCCAACATGAATGAAAATAATATTCATTACAGATAGCTATTTCTAGACAGCATACTGATGCATTTACACTAAGGTTCCAGTGTATCCACAAGTATATAATTATTTCATTACCTTTCACTACTTGCTGCCCCTATGCATCATACTGTTCAATATGTAACAGTTAAATTTACTATTACTAACAGTAGCTGTTTTTTGATAGGTGATGGCTGTAAATTAAGTGAGGGAGTGAGCACAAGTGGGGAGGATGGGGAGGAGGAGGAGGAGGAATTTGAAACAGAGGCGTTTGAGGAGAAGGAGGGGTCCAACAGCAGCTCGATGTCTGAAGATAAGCAAGCAACAGTAGCCCAAAAACGTGCTTCTGTCAATTCTATTGAATTTGAGTAAGGCATAATTTAATGTATATGCTTAAATTTGATGATTGGCCCAGATCTATTACTAATTATAATAGTTTAGAAAGTTCTTATTTTTCTTTAAATTATTTCTTTACACCAACCAGTTAATTACTCTGGGAAAGCCACAATATACTGATGTATGTAATAATATGAATTGACTACACCTTATATTTTGTTAGAATTTTCTAGCACACTTTGTCATGATCGCGTTACCATTTACCTTGACAACCAGAATTAGTGAAGATAAACTAATTGTAAAATGTTTTCTGTTCTAGGAGTCCTAAGCGACTGAAGAGTGAATCGGGTGACATCTAATATACACAGCTAAAAAATCATACTTGTTATGCGTACAGCAGTGATTAGACAAATGGTGATACGCAAGGCCTTTGGTCCGAATCTCGTTACTATAAAACATCTGTGATTGAAAGTCATCGTGTATCAAGCAATCACAAATAAATATGTTTGTAAAAAAACTTGTCCATTTCAAACAGCTGTGTTTTGGTAAAGGCGTTAACGTGCATTCTCTGGCATTCTGGCACTCTGGCAGTCTGACTACTGTAGTGATTGCAATGTTTGTTCAATTGTTTATTGGCTTAAGAAATATGCACAGTGTAACCTTCCCATTGTATCGAATCCTATTGTAATCATCTTGTTCTTCCTCATAATTATTAACCAGCTTCCTTCCAACACCATCATCATCTAGCTTCCCTCCAACACTATCATCATCTAGCTTCCCTCCAACACTATCATCATCTAGCTTCCCTCCAACACCATCATCATCTAGCTTCCCTCCAACACTATCATCATCTAGCTTCCCTCCAACACCATCATCATCTAGCTTCCCTCCAACACCATCATCATCTAGCTTCCCTCCAACACCATCATCATCTAGCTTCCCTCCAACACCATCATCATCTAGCTTCCCTCCAACACCATCATCATCTAGCTTCCCTCCAACACTATCATCACTCCAACACCATCATCATCTAGCTTCCCTCCAACAACATCATCATTCTACTTCCCTCCAAACACCACTCATCATTAGCTTCCCTCCAACACATATCATACATCTAGCTTCCTCCAAACACCATCATTCATCTAGCTTTCCCGTCCCACACTATCATCATCTAGCATTCCCTCCAAACACCTCATCATCTAGCTTCCCTCCAACACCATCGATCATCTCAGCTTCTCCAACACTATTCATCATCTAGTTCCCTCCAACACCATCTCATCTAGCTTCCTCCAACACCATCATCATCTAGCTTCCCCTCCAACCACCATCATCATCTACTTCCCTCCAACACATATCAATCTAGGCCTTCCCTTCCCAACACTATCATCATCTAGCTTCCCTCCAACACCATAATCATCTAAGCCTTCCCTCCAACACCTATCATCATCTAGCTTCCCTCCAAAACACTATCGATCATCTAAGCTTCCCTCCAACATATCATCATCTAGCTTCCCTCCAACACTATCGATCAATCTAGCTTCCCTCCAACACCATTACATGCATTCTAGGCTTCCCTCCAACACATGCATCAACTCTAGCTTCCCTCCAACACCTATCAATCATCTAGCTCTCCCTCCAACACATCATCCATCTAGCTTTCCTCCAAACCATCATCATCTAGCTTCCCTCGAACACCCTCATTCATCTAGCTTCCTCCAACACCATCCATCATCTAGTTCCCTCCAACAATATATATCTAGCTTCCTCCAACACTAATCATCATCTAGCTTCCCTTCCAAACTACTATCATCATCTGCTTCCCTCCAAGCACCATCATCATCTAGCTTCCCTCCAACACCTCATCAATCTAGCTTCCCTTCAACACTATCACATCTAGCTTCCTCCAACACCATCTTCATTCTAGCTACCCTCCGAACACCATTCATCATCTAGTGCTTCCTCAACACCATCATCATCTAGCTTCTCAACACTAACATCATCTAGTTTTTCCCCGTCCAACACTATCATCATCTAGCTTACCCTCCAAACACCATCATCATCTAGCTCCCGTCCAACACTCATCATCAATCTAGCTTCCCTCCAACACCAATCATCATCTAGCTTCCCTCCACACTATCATCATCTACGCTTTCCCTCCAACACTCGATCATCTAGCTTCCCTCCAACACCATCGATATCTAGCTTCCCTCCAACACCATCATCATCGTAGCTTTCCCTCCGAACCACTATCATTCATCTAGCTTCCCTCCAACACCATCCTTCATCTAGCTTCTTCGTCCAAACCATCATCATCTAGCGTCCGTCCAACACCATCATCATCTAGCTTCCCTCCAACACCATCATCGATCTAGCTTCCCTCCCAACACCATCATCATGCTTAGTCTTCCTCTGCCAACACCATCATCATCTAGCTTCCCTCCAACACCATCATCATCTAGCTTCCTCCAACACTATCATCATCTAGCTTCCCTCCACACTATCGTTCATCTAGTTCCCTCCAAACACCATCATCATCTAGCTTCCTCCAACCACGCATCAGGCTCTAGCTTCCTCAACCACTTCATCATCTAGCTTCCCTCCAACACCATCATCAATCTTGCTCCCTCCAACACCCATCATCATCTAAGCTTCCCTCCAACGACCATCATATCTAGCTTCCCTCCAAACTTATTCAATCATCTCAGCTTCCCTCCAACACTAATCATCATCTACTTCCCTCTCCAACACCATCATCATCTAGCTTCCCGTCAACACCATCATCACTCCAACACCATCATCATCTAGCTTCCCTCCACACCATCATCATCCTAGCTTCCCTCCAACAGTATCATCATCTAGCTTCCCTCCAACACCAGCATCATCTCAGCTTCCCTCAACACTATCACTCATCTAGCTTCCGCTCCAAGCACTATCATCATCTAGCCTTCCCTCCACATATCATCATCTAGCTTCCCTCCAACACCATCATCATCTGCTTCCCTCGCACCCATCATCATCTAGCTTCCCTCCCAACACCATCATATCTAGGCTTCCCTCCAACCATCTCATCCTCAGCTCCCATCCAACACGAGCATAATCTGCTTCCCTCCAACCTATCATCATCTAGCTTCCTCCAACACCTCATCACTAGCTTCTCCAACCACTATCGATACATCATACTAGCTTCCCTACCACACCAATCATCATCTAGCTTCCCTCCAACACGTATCATCATCTTAGCTTTCCCTCCAACACCTCATCATCTAGCTTCCTCCGAACACTATCCATCATCTAGCTTCCCTCCAACACCTCTCAATCTAAGCTTCCCTCCAAACACCATCATCATCTAGCCTTCCTTCCACACTATCATCATCTAAGCCTCCCGTCAACCACCCATCATCATTCTAGCTTCCCGTCGCACCACTATCATCCATCAATTAGCTTCCCTCCGAACACGATCATCATCTAGCTTCCCTCAACACTATCATTATCTAGCCTTCCCTCCAACACCATCAATCATCTAGCTTGCCCTCAACACTATCATCATCTAGCTTCCTTCCAAACACCATTCATATACTAGCTTCCCTCCAACACCATCATCAATCTAGCTTGCCTTCCAACACTATCATCATGCTGCTTCCCTCGCAACAGCCATCATCATCTAGCTTCCTCCAACACTCATCGTCTAGCCTTCGCCTCCAACACCATCAATCGATCTAGCTTCCCGTCCAACCACCATCATCATCTAGCTTCCTCAACACCATCATCATCTAGCTTCCCTTCCAAAGAACCATCACGCATCGTAGCTTCCCTCCAACACTATCTTCCCTCCAACACTATCATCATCTAGCTTCCCTCCAACACTATCATCATCTAGCTTCCCTCCAACACCATCATCATCTAGCTTCCCTCCAACACCATCATCATCTAGCTTCCCTCCAACACCATCATCATCTAGCTTCCCTCCAACACTATCATATAGTTCTCTGTCGCCGCCGCTGCCATCATCTAGCCCTCCAATAACATCACAACCATCGTCAGGTAATACTGATTTCCAGTTCTCCTGAATCTTTATTGATATGATGTTTTATAAGATCGTTTGTTTTATGCACACCTGGCGCTATTATAAGCAGAGTAAATTATGAGCACATCACAAAACTCCCTAATTTCCTTACCTACTCTATGCGATTATAGGTATTGTCAGTAGGTACACACCATGGGTCTTTGCTAGCACATAGCATAGGATCAAAGTGGATGCTAATTGCTAACAATTGATTTTTGTCATATTAAGTATGCTGGAGGCATTTTTTTAATGTGATATTTTTAGTTTACTCACATCTTGCACTCTCCGGTACCAAGAGCAATGTTGATTGTAATATTTAGCAGAAATGTTTTTTTGTGACGTAGAACCTTCAAGGTACATGCTCTTGATGGGGTCTGTGACTAATTCATAGATGAGTGGATTACAAGACTGCATTACCGAATCTCTGGTTTTAATTTTACTGGTCAGCATGATTTAAATCTGCGAAGTGCTCAATATGATGTACAGAGTATGTCATCTATCTGTGAATGTTATTTTGCTTCAAAGTGGGTTGTTTGCATATTGACTTATTTCCAGAAAGTATTATAAATATAACTGGATTGTATATTTAAAGTAACTATATTTAAGTGCATATTAGTTTGCTGTACATGAAAGCTAATAGTTGAAAAACGTATAAAATTAAAGTTTACAAATCATAACCATGAATTTGATGTCCTCCGTTATTATAAATGACACACCAATACAAGTATCTCTTACCTGATGTCAAGAGACAATAACAAAATGCTGGGTTGTATTGGTAGTGACAAGACTAAATCAAAGGTACACTATTTAAAAAGTAAACACAATTACAGGTTAACTGTTTATTGGAAAATCACTCAGTAGCAACAGTTTACTGCAACTTAGTGATCACATGTATAGTAGTAACAACACCAACGCGCATGTATTCCTTGGCCTATATGCACTCGTGGGCAGGTCTGGCAAAATTAGCATTGTCAGTCTGTGTGCATTAGTGCTACACAGCAATGTCCTAAGCAAACGTGCCTTTATGAAGCGATTACCTACATATGTGTGACCCAATTGGAAACGATCTTTGCTCCGACTTGGTAAATATACATGCGCGAGGAAAGGATACTGTCACGCGTTAAATAAATCCAATTTTCTAGTGTAATTCGGACTTCCTGTACTGATATGATATTTTTAGGATAGAGGTTGTTACCAATCCGTTCATATCATGATGACTGTTAGTTTAAAGTTTACACACAAATTGCATCATTTTGTTACATGAACATTACCATTCTATATGGCATTGAAAACATTCTGACAGAGAATCAATTTTGTTGTTCCCAAAATACCTAGCCAGCAGCTGAGAACCTATTGTATAAGGATCTCCAGTGAACCGAATTAATCGTTTGTAGTAAATTACACATTTGTCATTTTTATATAGCATGGCAGCATAAGTTAAGCATTTTTGCTAATTCCATGTTAATGTGTAGCAATTTAGCCATGGTATTTAAAAAAAGACGTGTCCTCAGATAAGCTATATTTCATAAATAACCATTGTAATTTCATAAGTTGCAATGCAAGGGTGCAGTAAGTTAACAGCCAACTGACAAATAAAGCTGTTGTCATGTCCCCAATACTGAAACCCCGTATATTTAACAGCATGCAAAACAAAAACCACTCGTTGCCTATTACAATGTTTATCAAAATAGCGAGACCGCCACCACATACCGTGTTGTCACAAACATGGATACAATAAACAGTGGCAGAGACTACAATGTTTTGTACCACACAGTTATCAGATCGGGAGTCCTCATAATGTCTACTGAACTAGTGCCTCCGTACCTCACTTGAATTGCTGTTTGATCTCGACTGTCTAGAAAAACCATGCCTGGCTTACTCAGTCTATGTGTCAACTGCCGAATACCAGTTGATACGGCATTCAAGAGCCAAGTGCAAAACCGAGGCACCGTTGAGTCACTTTAAGTTTGCTTTGCGCGGATAGCAGCGCGCTTGCCTGTGACGGCCTGGAAGCCAGACTTGATACTAGCAACACTACATCGGGATCCACACATCTCGCACTGCAGGAAGAACAGTCGCGTGTCCTTTTGGAGGATGGTGTCTGGGGATCGACACGTGTGGCAGGTCACGTACTCCTCTGTGGAAATCAGACCAGAGTTGGTGAACGGTGATTCGTAACTCTACAGACTACTATGCAGGCACTGATGGCAATGAGAATTTATTTCAAAACATCAGTGCTGTTCCTCATACAGGAGTGACAGTAACTATAGCACTACTAGATATCTGACAAGCCAGTGCGGCCAGCGGAGGGTACGGTGTATACAGTCAATGCAAAAATCTAGATACCCAATCAATTCTTTATGAATATTTTTTATACATTTTTATGGATGGATAACCAAGAAAATCTGTTGCCGTTACTGCTTATTAAAAAGGGTATAACTAGCACACAATGACAGTTAACATGCCTGACTTCCCGTTACAGATGGCAATTATGTGAAACAAGTGGGCTGTATTAGCTTCCATAACCTTAGGTTGAAAACAAGATCATGCAACAAGGAGGAATAAATGCCTTGCTTACTAATATATCTTCGTAAAACATTTTCTATTTGTTTCTGTTGAAATTTTCCCTTGATAATCAGCTGGTTGTTTCCATCCACTGAACCACTGCAATGAATTTCAAGTAAAAATGTTAATTCCCCATTACCATAGGTATACAGCACACATAGATTTTCAGAGTTGTCATTGACCTCCTTTTGCCAATTTATTCTGAGCTTAATTCTGTAACCTATAAAAACATATCAGGTTGTGTCCACACTCCATTGTCCAAAGGCCAATAATAAACATGCATTACATATAAGGATAGACTTAGTACTAAATGATAGTCAACTGCTATTTTCCGACTGCAATATATAGAGATGATGGAATGTTCTAACATAATGGATTCCAAAGTGTAAAGGCTAACCCATACTATCTACACTTTATACATATATACCCGTACATGTAAATTATAACAAGTGTGTTACAATACATTACGAATAACACCTTGCCGGCTTCACATCACTATAAAATTGTTGAAAAATTGAGAAGTTTTTAAGTGCAATCCATAAGATTATTTCAATGCAGATACCTTGTTCCCAGCTCGGCCATCAAAAAGGCTAATAGATGTTTTGGTTGCCTATGAAGACTGAAATATAACAAGCAAATAATAACCATACAAGTTGTTGCTTGGCTATCTACATGTAAATTATGTGCAAATCATGTATACGCGTGTTTGGCACAGATAGTTCGATTTAAAATATGGGCTGCGCAATGTCTTTAACAAATGATTGATACTCTAACATAAAAAACAATCCCATACACATACATTTTGCAGATATCAGCGAAGTTAGCAAAAGACGTCTTCTTTGTTCCTACGCGGCAGACTTGTGGCGGACGCATTACAAACCGCTTCTTGTCACCAGCAACCATGTCTGGATTTTTCTCTCTCATAATGTCAAACACCCGTGTGAGCAGCTGAAACAGAAATAATTACGATGATCAATTTAGCATGGATCCACAAGCCAGTAATATATTCATGCACCATGGGCCACTGCTTATCACCTAATAAACACGCCATTTCGATCAGTCTATATTGTAAGTTAAAATCATGTCTTGGTCACATGAATAGCTGATATATCAAAGGTCTAAGATTTTCTTTGCATCACCTCTTCATAGGTATAATCTCTGTCTGACCCAGACCACGCGGTGCCATCACTTAAGCCTAACGACTCGTCATCTAAAACAGAGAACATCGATTCAATACAGGTACTAATAACATTACTTATTACAACATATTAATTATTACTATTTATCCATTTACAAGCCAGAAAATTAAGAGTATGTTGAACCATTGTATTATAACTATGGGCTTAATGAGAAAATGTCTATAATAATAATTAATGTCTGAACATAATATTTATGAGAGGCATGAGTTAATACTTTACCTTGTTTAGCTGTGCCTTCTCCTGTCTCCTAAAATAATACAATATTTTATATTTATCAAATTAAATGAACTTTTAACACATATGTAACTTTTATTATCTATTCAATCATTTATGGTTTCAACAACTTGTAATACTACAATGTCAACAATTACTTGTGCAGTACAATGACGAAAGACTACACAAACACACATATAGCATTCAACGAAGCCTTAGAAAAATATTATAAACAAAATTATGGACTTTTTACATATATTAAAATTACGGAATAGGACTTTTCCATATATCATAAAAACATATCCTCTATTCAGGGGTCGAAATTGGATTTTTATTATGGTATCCATTCGGGATACCAGGTACTCTAAGGCTAGTAGATGATGAATTTCCCTTGTTTATTGAAGTCACACTCCTTCCCTATTATCTACTTCTGATACAATGTATACACATTACATTTATGATCAGCATCGGCCACGCTTACGCATGCGCTTGCAAATATGCTATGCCTGCTGTATAACGCTAGTGTGGCATAGTAAGGGTGCATGAGCCCGCTCAGATCGCGCGCACTCGCTCAGATGCGCTGCCGTACAAAGTTGATAACTCAACAACCACTATCCCGATTTTCACTATTTTTTTTGTACTATCCCGGCGGGATACCAAGCATTGAAATCTGGTATCCAACACAAGAATCTACTATCCCGCGGATATCGGGATACCGCTAATTTCGACCCCTGCTATTGTAAGATTTAATGGGGTTATTACAGTATAATCAGCACATTGCATACTGACGGTGTTATAATACATAGTCACTATAGAGATAAATCAACAAAAGCCTAACAAGTACATAAAAAAACAACATTTGAATGTATGTCAAACTATGACAAAACTGAATGCCAAAAGTGAAAAAATAAATGAAATATCGAAGCAGTAGCCACTCTGATATACATACTGCAGTGCCACCATCCAGTGCATCCAAATCTAGAACTTTAGCTTTCTTTTTCTTTTTCTTTTTCTTCCCAGAGAAGTCATCCAGATCATAAGCAAAATCTGGAAAACATTAACACATTAAGACCATAGTAATTGCAATCAGCAAATGTTAATACTATCAAGAGCTAAAAAATACCTAGCGTGTACAACGGGAAAACGGGAAAATTGTGCTTTTTCACGGCAATATTATTCTACTTTGTATGCGGTTCTAGACTAAGTTCATGGTATTGCGTTAAGCAGCATTCTTTGCTCTCCAAAATAAGACCAACCGCTTATCTCTACGATACTCCTAGGCTGAGATATTGGAGCGTAATCATGCCTCCCACAGGCCTCACGCCGCGTCGCATCCACAATATTCACTATCCTTCTCGCCTTTTGAGGGTCTGGCTATCGTTTTCCGTGGCCGCTTGGAGCGCTGATAATTGATGTCACATGCCCAAATTTGGTACTCTTACTACACCATATAGTAACTGAGCTGCGTTGTAGAGACTTAAATTAGAAAACATTGCCGGCTCCATCATGACGGGCATTAGCCGTGCTAGGAAAGATAATGGGAGATAAGGGCATAGGCGATGCCCCCGAAAGTCACCGAAACGAAGTTCATTCATAAAGTTATCGCGAAAAAGACCGAACTCTCACGAAGCGACTTTCCTAATCCGCAAAAGGCGAGAAGGATAGTGAATATTGTGGATATGAGGTGCCGTGAGGCCTGTGGGAGGGGAAGTTTACGAGCCAATATCTTAGCCTAGGAGTAGGAGTATCGTATTGACAAGCAGTTGGTCTTGTTTTAGAGCAAAGAATTCTGCTTAATGCAATACCATAAAATTGTTCTAGACTCGCAGGCAAAGTAGAATAATATTGCCGTGAAATAGCACTATTTTCCCGTTTTTTCATTGTACACTCTAGGTGTTTATTAGCTCTTGATACTATACATAGCAATTATTATCATTCTAAATTGAAAGATAAAACTGAAAAAAAGAAAATCACTACAGATATGGGGCCTGTTGTGAGAAAAGTTATGAAGTTAAGGCTAATGTTAATGCTAAGATATCACTTACGACTAATGTTAATGCGACGAGAATAGCATTGACAGAAACGCATCACAGCTATGAGAAAACTTACTATAACAGTAACTTGTTAAGTTGCTGTCAAAAGGCTGCTGACTGGATGAGAATTGATAATGAAACTCAACTTTATATACATTTATTGTACACGACTATAACATATGCATATATTATGATAGTTAACCACATATAAATAATAACCGATGAAAGAACAACATGATATGAGCCTCACAACTCATAAAAATTATATCCAAAACAATAGCACAATTTCCACTTGCAAATCTTTGTTTTGTTACATGCTCAGTAGATATGTGGTGTGTAATGAAATTTTCAAACGATGCCATGAAAAAGTGCACGTATGCAAGTTACGTGATGCAAATATTTATAGACTGGTACCTATCTCGGAGTGTATACAAAGGTAATTAACCTAGTGTAGAGACAGGGTTCCGGCCTCATGAGAGCAAAAATCACACGCTAGTTTTGTTGACATATGTAAACAAATCTAATTGGAAATATAAACCAGTGCACATATTGGTGGAAAGAATGTTGTGAGAATGTTCTATGACGTGTTAACCTTATTATATACATTTGGTGTTATGCAAGGACTAGCGGTAAGTATCAGAACGGTCACAAAAATATGAAAACAGTAAGTAAAAACATGAGAAATCCTTGCTTTAAAACTAATATTAGGACTAAATTTGTTTCTGATAATGGGCCCATGGTCACGTACAATAATTTGCATAAATTTTTATTTTTACTCAGGACCTTGATTAGTGTTTATAGTTTATACATAATTACAATATATAATAGTTTATTGGGCATGTAATTTGTTTTTAGCCTACCATCTTCTTCCTTTTTTTCTTCCAATTCTTCCTCTACAACAAAAGCCTCAATTCTGTCTTCTGTTCTATTCTCTACTGGCTCTGCATTAGTTTCCCCTGCCATGGCTGCATCAAGATCGAATGGTGTCTTCTTCTTCTTTTTCTTCTTCTTTATGCTGGGATCAAACAGCTACAAAATAACCAATAGTAGAATGAAATGCTGCCCAAATTAATGAAGAAGGATGAAAGAATGAAATTATAAGATCTTCAAACTACACAATCAATTTCTACGCTATAGCAAAAGTTAATACGGTGTAAAAAATGGGGCGTTTTATTATATGACTGCCGACTAGAGGAAAGAGTAAAAAAACATTTTTGGACAGGGATCTACAATACTGTCCACGTCACTTGGAGAGAGAGAGAGAGAGAGAGAGAGAGAGAGAGAGAGAGAGAGA